AGAAAGGTGCGCCACAATTTGGACACGTAGTTCAATTTTCAGCTTTTCTTCCAACAGAAGCAAAGCTTTGAATGCTTAATAAATTCTTTCATTGGCTAAATCGCACATATTTCTTCTGATAAGGAGACCACCTGAATGGAATCTGCTGGGAAACTGTAGAAAGACAATGAGGAGGTAATCTTAGCTTCCATTGTTCTCTTAACAAGACTTCTGTTTAGTTTGGTTCAGCTCTCATTCCCATCCATCTTTCCGTAGAGGACAATTTTGCACAGCGAAGGAAAAATAAGAACAATAACATTTCTGCATAGGAGGGAGTGCTAGTGTGTCCTTTTTGCTCATTGGACAATCATTAGATAGCAGCAGTGACTATGAGCACAGCTGCAAATGTGCAGACGTACAGATCAAATGAACAGCATCACTCTCCGCAAAACCCCTCAACCTCTCTGAATAACCTCTTAGACCCGACTTCATTTTGTCTTACCTTGGTCAACCTCGGCCATCTTTAGACAACTTTCTAAACATTAAGCCTAAAACATATCATTTAACTCCACAAGCCAAAAGGGAAAACCCTGTGACAGTGGCCCCTATAAGTGAGAAATCATCACTGTGGACCAGCGTAGCCCCCTTTTTGAAGATAGTTTCACTTGCCAGTGGTACGGCCCAAGACTAGCCAGTCTTCTAATCCAGTGCAGGCTTTTGATAGCTCCAACTGTGAGTCCTTATTACAGCTGGTGATTAAAACCAGGAGACAAAAAAGACAGAGAAGGGAGAAAAGATGGAGAAGGAAGAGCACGTAAGAAAATAAATATTATTCTATACTATATTTTCAAAATCAGAGTATAAACTATACAGCAAATGACTACCTCTAAATGACCTCTAAATATATTAAAATCAAAATGTGATTATTTATTACAAATGCTTGAAATTTACTTTAAAAAAGGAAAAACTGAGCAAACATGCACAGATGTCAATAACATATATTGTATTTTATATCTGACAAGACTCTGAAAAGGCTTAAAAATTACAACAGTGTATTTTTGAATCGGCACAGTAACAATAACGTCCTCAAAGTACAAAAACAAAAACAGCCATAAAATTGACTAGGAAATCAAAACAGTGAATATCGCAGCTGTAAAAGAAGGAACTTTAATCTTGGCTAATGACATCACAGACCTCAATCAAGTCTTATCTGGCGTTTGCTATTTACACTCCACTGTCGTTTGTTAAGCATTTATTGTTCTGTCTGTCCTCTCAATCTTTTGCTCTGTTTTCTCTCTGATACTGAGTAATCTCTGGGATGAAATCTCCACATGAATAATTCAAAACCATCTGTCAGATATCAACAGTCTGAATAAGACTCAGAAAAGCGAGGAGGTGTCGATTCTTCTATTTATCTTAAAAACCACTTCTCACAGCGGCCCCCAGCCTGTACATCAATACTGGATAGCTGCAATGACTGACGGAAACACAGCTGCAGCTCTACACAAAGTCACCAGCTAATCTAAAAACTGCATAAAGATCATGTGTTTCCTTTGACCCATGCCCTTCTGGGGTGTGTTGCATGGATTGTAAGGTTGTGAATTAATCTTAGTAGGGGTGTAATGGTTCTGAACACCAAAAATTGGGAACCAAACGTCCACGGTCCCACCTCCCCTTCAGCAATCTGTATATTTTGTAAATATGAGCTAGCGGCTTCTCTCTGTGGTGCCTTTTGCCCAAGGGTGGGGCTCAGCTTCTCCACACACACACACACACACACACACACACACAGCAGCTGAGATGCTGGAGAGGAGAGAGGCTGGAGTTAAACTAAAATTAACAACAGCTATGCTCAGTTCTGTATGTGCAATGAAATCTAGGTGAGTTAAAAGCCAGTAGTCACACACCTGCTAAACATGTGTAAACTTGCAGAAAAGTGATAAGTTCAACTTTTCCACACAAAAAAATGGCATTAGCTTTCTTTTTTGGTCAGACCGTACAAGGCTCAGAGGGGCTTAACAAGTTCTACCAGGACTCCAGCAGCAGACAGCCCCTTGCTCTGTTTGTGTTCCAGGGAGGGGAGCCGCTCTACATGACGATTTATTGACGCAAGATCCCCCTCAGCCAGGACCTGCCACTGACTTCTGCTGCTGGAAAGAGGATGGGCAGGAGGAGAGGGACAGGAGGGTGGGGAGAGTCTTGCTGGGATGAGAGAGTTTGTCTGTGTGTGTGTGTTCTAGCTCTGGCTCCAAGGCCATAAATCCAGTTCCAAAATGCCAAGTAGCATGTCAACATGCCAGGCTTTTGCCACCCAAGTTTAAGTCAGACAAAAGGCCCTTCAGTGCTCTAAAATGGTGGTTTGAGAATAGGAAATGATGATTAGTCATATATAGAAAGGGGATTAGCAATACTGCACAGACTGGAGGGCAACAAGGAGAAAATGAACAGCTAACAGGAGGTGAAACTGAGGAGTGAAGGCTTTGTTCTTCATTTCAGAGTGCCTCAAGGTGGAGATCAGACAGGCAGTTGAAATGTTCTGGCTTAATACAAAATTTCAACAAAACTATCTCTCACCTAATTTTGGTCTTATCTCTAAACTGTTGTGGATGGAAGGTTTGGTTTCATAAGAAATGTCTTTCCCAAAACTGCGATTATCTTTAGCCATTAACTGACATATTGTGGGTGAGTATGAAAAGGTTCCCTCCCGGAAACAGTCCAAATGAGATTTTGATGAGGAACATAAACATATTGTGAAAACAGACAGAGCATGGACATGGTCAGAATAGCAGGAAAATAAAAAAGAGAAAAATATGGCCCACTCCGGCGTTCTGCTTATATAACATTGTATTTAAGAAAAACAATCACAAATAACTTCACAGCTATCCAGACAGCCTGAAACATCCTTTCTGATGCACACCCTTCTGGCTAGGACTCAACCACGTCTCTACCAACAGCTCATGAGGAAAAAAGGTGATGCCAGCAACCCACATTGTGCCACACAGGCCCAGCAGCACCACAACAATTAATCATTGCACAGAACAGGACTAAGACAGCCAAAGCCTGATGGGTAGGGGAGGACACACTTGGCCTTTTGTCCATTTGGGTCAGCATTTGAGAAAGAGGAAGATCCAAATCTGCATCACGGTTGTGATAATAGAAAAGAAAAGGGAGGATTGCCTGTGCTACATAGGTACCTGTCGTTGATTAAGGTCAAGCAACCAACTGTGAAATATAATTTATGATCAGTAGAAAAACAATTTAACTCTCAAACATGGGGAGACTTGTTCAACTGACATTAAAAACAAAAAGCTGAAAAGTAAATAGCACATTTATACAGTGTACACTATGGCTGCAATTACATTTAACTCCAAACAAAATGAAAGTAATGCTATTAAACTTGAATTTGTGGTCAACTGTCCTTAAATAAACCCATCAGCACTGTGCAAACCAAACAAGAAGACAGCGAAAGAATCACAGAGATACCAAGCAATGTTAGCAATAACTTTTAGTTGAAGTAGTAACTTCAGTCAGCGACAGTAAGACATACTGTGTTGAAGGGGACACCTATAGTAGAGAGGAATGATGTCTAGAAACAAAGCAGCAAACAAGAGATGCAGAAAGCAATTACAGTTACAAAACAACAACAACAGCAAAAGAAAACTGTCACTTGAGGCCAGGGAACCACACTCCTCCCCTGTTTTTTCACTTTCTTTCAAGAAAATGTTTCTGAACTGCTAAATTTAGTTGCAACTGCCTTTTGTTGTTGCCTGATGTGATGACATGTTCACTACCTGAACTCAAGATTGTGGGGTTGCATCATGACTATAGAGAGCTACAGTCCTGTGCAAAAGTCTAGGGCTGCACTTAGATTTGTTTTTTAGCAATGTTATGATGACTCTCTATATTTATATATCAGAATACAACTAGAAAATACAGGAAATGTGTAGACAGTATTACAAAACACAAAAATGTGAGAAAAAAATCTGCAGCCAAACTGGATACTCCAGATGTGGTATCCAAGCTGTTCTAAAGAAATATGAAGAACCTGGAGAGGTCAAGGACAAACACAGGAGTGGAAGACCAAGAAAACTGTCAAAATGTCTTCAGTGAGAGACCAGAGGAAACCCAGTGAGGACCTGGCTCAAAAGGCTGAGGCATGCAAACGCTCGCAAAGACCGGAGTGAAGATCAGTGGAAAAGAATCTTATGGGGTGAATCGAAGGTTGAAACGTTCGGGTCCAGTCATCAACAATATGTGGGAAGAAGAGTTGGAGAGAGGTGGAAGAATGAGTGTAGCAGCCTTCAGCGAAACATGGTGGAGGGTCTGTCCTGGTTTCAAGACTTCAGACAGTCTCCCCAAAAGAATTCAAGCTGTGCTAAGTACAAAATACTGACTTTGGACTGTAGAGGCCATTTGGGTCTGAACATTTAAAATTTTTTCATTTGTAATTAACATTACAACCTTGCTAAAACAGAAAAACTAATGGTGGACTAAGACCTTTTCACAGTACTGTGTGTAAAGGGCTTTTCTATCAAGTCAACATTTGCACCTCCCAAAATGCAATCCTTACTAATCGACAACATGAAAATAAAATCTGCCTGTAATTACTCAGGTTTTACTTCAGAACCTCAGTGAATAACTTCAAACTCTTAAACAATATGACAAGAACATCTTGTAATTACAATTATATTTTCTGCATTAATTGCTTTCTTGGCAACAGTGACTTTTTGGGGTGAACACATGTAAGTCAATTAAATAGACAATAAAACGATACTTGGACTGACATGTGCCCTGCCTTAAGCACCACTGCTGTGTCAACAATGCACCATGCTGGTGCATTGTTTTCTTAAACACTATTTTCAACACAAAAGAACAAAAGAATAAGCTGTATGTAAATTCAGCACACATCACATAATCATAGTCACTAAAGCCAAATGTTGCGTTTACTCCGGTAGCAGAAGGCTTTCCCATGTCAAAGCAACTACACGTGCACAGAAAAGGACAAAGGAGTTCGATCTTACCTGGTTGACAGTGAGAGTTCATTGTTGTGGTTGTTGGTGCCAGGCAGACTTGACAGGGGAGGAGAGGTCAGTGGTGAGGGTGTCAGTAGTGACCACCATGTGCTCTCTGGTCACGATGGTGCGGCCAGGTGGAAGCGCCAGGCTAAGGAAGGCCAGAGGGGAGGTGCATCTCAGGGCTTCATCACACTGAGCCACAGGCAGAAACACTTCAACGGTTTATTGTGGCAGGATTCTTTCAACCGAACAGTCAGGCTGGGAGAAGTACCTACACAAAAAGTCATTTTCATATGAAAGTGACATTCCAGGTGCAATTTCTAAGATATTTTCCAACAAATTACAAACTAACAGGGAATATTCTAAACCAACAGTCATCACTGGGTTGATGTTTTATTCTTTTGTTTGATGTTGGACACCAATTTTAAGTGTAGTAAATATGCTGAAAAATATGACTATTATTAACAAAAATCATACGAATTCTTTTGGGCAAAAAACATAGTGATCTGAAACAACTCTGGCTTCCACCAAGTTTCATTTGAAGCCTCTGGGTTTATTAAAGAATCACAATATGTTTACATAATTTGAATGTGACGGCTAGTCCTGCAAGTCACTGTCAGCACTGTTACAGTACTGCACCCAGTCACACAAATCTACTGAACTTAGTCTAACAGCTCTATAAATGATCAAATTTCTGTAAACATGCATTGGTGTTCTTGAGAAAAATGTCACATTTTATTAACCACAAGTAATAAAATGTACCAGCTTCTAGTCACATTAGAAAGATTCCACTTTCACAGCTCACATGGTCAGCTAGGGAAGTGAGTGCATTAATAAAGTCACTTCCCTATAGTAAAACCCAGACAGGAGCACAAACACAGGTCTCCTGAAGGCTGAGACCCACCTCAACATCAGTAGCTGATGAGAAAGAGGAAAGTACTTTTCTGTCAGGCGTGTGTGTGTAGTCAGAGCTGTAAGGACTAAGAGACACACAAGGACACCTCTGGCTACCCAACTCTACCCTGCATAAACTAAACCACCTTGGTCACATCTAACAGGTGTCAACAGAGCTGAACACAAACAAGCGGTAATGAGAGCTGCAGTCTGGTTGTAATGAGATAGTGGGTATTTGCTGCCTTTCTCTCTCAAATAAATAGACACAATCTCTTTGCTGTCGCTGTTACTTTAAAGCTGTTGTACTGAAACTGTCAAATGAATGAGTTCATTGGAAAGAGGGTGTAGACGGTGCACGGCCAAATAAAAGCTCATGGAAACCCATTACTGCTGGGAATCTCCAGGGTGTTACTTCGATTATCAGGAATTATCAAGAAAAAAAAAAACAGGACATTAAGTAAATGAGAGATTGTAATTATGACAAAGTACTGTGAGTATTTCTCATTCACTCTAAAGACATAACTACATGTTTTCTGACACCACCAGCCTGTAGTTTGGGGCACTGCCCTGCTTGAGCTGTGCAGTCCTTAATATTTCTTTCCTGTGATTTCACTTTTGCTGAAAATGAAGAATGTACAACACTGCAGATATTTTTACTGCACTGCAGAACCATAAGATGCACCACCTGCACCACCGCCAACTGGCACTTCACATCAGATGGGATTTATTGCTCTCGTGCAGTAGCGTCTGAATCTGGAACCATTTCATGGCGCTTGACAGGAATACAACTCTCATGACCCCTTAATGGACTTCATTTCCCAAGCACTCTGAACACTGCCGGGAGTAATCACAATGGCATAAAAATAACATGTGGTCAGATAGTGAGCAGTAAACAACAATTAAGAGACCCCTTGCATAGCTCATGAAATGAATCATTGAAAACGCATTTATGCCACGAAGACAGCTTCAGCTTCTGAGCCCTAATTGACTATGAATTATTCAGACGGTGAGTGGGATTAGCAGCACTGCTACTGAATGACATGCTCCTGATTTTTCGTTGTTATTTGAGTACTGGGTGTTTACAGTGAGCAGTACTGTACTAGCATGCAAAGAAAACATCTACAGTAGAAGCTGGAAACTCCAAAGGGAGAGCACCACATCTCGCTGCTAGCAAGACAGAGACAGAGTATTAGGCTATAATGTTTAATTAAAGGCATGACTGTGTGAAAATGAACCCACCTTCTGTAAAAGGAGGGAGGCTTAAATCAGTGTGACCCAGGTGAGCACCAGTGAGTCCAGTAAGGAGGAGAAACAGGGCAGAGGGCAGTGAGTGAGCACACGATTAAGAAGAGAAAGTGAGGGTCTGCAGTAACACAACCTTTTCTGCTGGCTGTTTGCAAATGAATATGGCCAGCTATGACCGCGGGACATCACATCAATCAGATGTTGGCTGCACATGGACAGGTTGACTAGATGTGAAGTACAGGCTTCAAGTGGCACAGGGGGATCATTTGTCCTGTTGATAGTGTTCTGACAGCCTGGGGACAGTTGTGTGTTCAGTATGACCTGACAGCAGCGGTGGATATGGTAAGGATATAGATGTTACCATTTTACCAGAGTTAGCTGCTTCAGTGTCGCCTTCACTTTCACACACGAGAAGTCACTGCATTCTGTTTGATGGGCTGGTCAGTCTCAACCTAAAATCTACCAAAACATCTTCAACAACCTACATACGTAGTTAATTGGGCTCAACCATGACAGAAACTTAGGGTTCGCTTTCAGCTTGTTCAACACAATTTGCATAACATGCACTGTATGACTGGTCTTTAGCAGGTTAACTGTGGGCAATGCAGTGAAGACGTC